AAATCCCCTTTTTAGTCCTTACTGTTCACAAATCCGGCCCCTTTTTAGTCCTTCCGTTAAATTTTAGCTGATGTGGCAGGTTAATTAACGGAAAATTTTATTTTTTTCTTTACTTTAATTACGTGGAAAATCCATCCGGCAAAACTCGATGACATGGCCAAATTTTTTGCCTTTAATTACCAATTTACCCTCATCTTCTTCCTCCATCCTCTCCTTTCTTCAGCCTTTTTTTTCTTTTTTTTCTTACCTTCAGGCGAACCTAGGAGCCTGGGTTTGTCGCGATGAACCCAGCTCGTGGGTTCATCGTGAACCCACAAGCCTGGGTTCACAACAAACCCACGAACTAATGATTTTAATTTTGAATTGATTGTTGAGATCGGACTTGGGAGAGTAGAGACTATTATTTCATATTATTATTGAAAAGCAACAAAAGTGTAAAATCAAGATCCAAACAGGACAGTGTCCAGGAAACCAAAAAATTTTTCTAGAAACATCTTATCACTACTCAGCTTACTGTTAGTATTTTCACAGAACATGAAGAACTATTGCATATGAAAGAGCTTCATCAAGTTTTTCTCATTGAAACATTCAAATCCTTCTGTTTCTAGATCGATTTCGATCTCAAATTTCACAAGTAACATATGAAACATAACTAAGCTCAAAATATAGCTAAAATCAAATAAAAATCGCTCATTCAACTCCTAATTTCACAAATTTCACAGGTAATTTATGAATACAGAAAGAATAAGCATGCAAATGAGAGAAGTTCAGGCAAAAGCTGAATTCGAGAGAGAAGTACCAACAGAACTTGGAGCAAGCAGTAGGAGATCTGTAACTGCAAATCCCCTTCGATCTCTTCAATCGATTCCTCAAGCAGTAGGAGCTTGGGTTTGCGATGAACCCAGCTCATGGGTTCACGATGGCGAACCCAGGCTCGTGGGTTGGTCGTGAACCCAGCTCGTGGGTTCACGATGGCGAAACCTAGGCTCGTGGGTTCACGATGGCGAAACCCAGGCTCGTGGGTTCACGATGGCCAAACCCAGGCTCGTGGGTTCACGATGGCGAACCCAGGCTCGTGGGTTCACGATGGCGAACCCAGGCTCGTGGGTTCACGATGGCGAAACCCAAGCTCGTCGATTCACGATGGCGAAACCCAGGCTCATGGGTTCGTCGTGAACCCAGCTTGTGGGTTCGTCGTGAACCCAGCTTGTGGGTTCCTCGTGAACCCGTGAGCTGGGTTCCTCTCGAACCCGCGAGTTGGGTTCGTCGAGAACCTCTTAAGCTGGGTTCGTCGTGAACCTCTCAAGCTAGGTACCTCGCGAACCTCTCGAGCTACATTCCTCGCGCCTCTTGGGTTTGCCCGGAGGTAAAAGAAAAAAAAAAGGCTGGAGAAAGGAAAAGCCGGGGAAGAAGATGAGGGTATATCAGTAATTAAAGGTAAAAAATTTAACATGTCATCAATTTTGGCCACATGGATTTTCCACGTAATTTAGTTAAAAAAAAAAAAAGAATGAGTGTTTCTGTTAATTAACCTGCCACATCAACTAAAATTTAACGGAAGGACTAAAAAGGGGCTGGATTTATGAACAGTAAGGACTAAAAAGGGGATTTTTCGGTACAGGGACTAAAAAGGGGCTTTTTCCTATAGTAGAGGGACCAAAAAGGGTATTTAACCTTTTTTATCAACCAAACAACATACCATATTATCAAATTTGTAAAAATTCTAACAAATTTATTATCTTCTTCCTTTTTCCTTCTTCCTCTTTTCCTTTTTCTCTCTCCATCTAGAGAACCCAGATCGAGAACTTGGTCTAGGTTCTTCATTTGGGTTCTGCTGGAGAACCTAGATCAGGTTCTGCAGTAGAACCCAAATTTGGGTTCACATCTGGGTTTCTCTAGGAGAACCAAAATCGAGGTTCTCCTTAAGAACTTGATCTGGGTTCTCGTCAATAAATCAAGGAGGGAGGAAGAGAAAGAAGAAGAGGGGAGGAGAGGGAAAGAAGAATAAAAAGAAAGGAGGAAGAGGGGAAATAAGGAAGAAAGTTGAAAATCAAAGAACCAGTGCTGGGTGAAGAGGAGAGCTGCTAGGTTAATGGAAAAAAGGGAGAGAAACGAAAACAGAATGAGTGGGTGACGGAGGGTGTAATGGGAGAGTGTGTAAATATCATTTCCCTTATTTTAAACCAAACTTTTGTAAATATGTCTTAGGCAAAAAGCCTTCTTAAGCCCCCAAACTCACCCCAAAATAACATTTAAGCCTCTAAACTAAAAATGAAACAAATAAGCCCTCCAACTCCATTAATGATGCAAATAAGCCCTTCTCATTCATGGGTTTTTATGCTTTCAAGATGATATTAGACATGAAATTCTGTTTGGCTCGTTTGTGAAAAGGAGTTACTTGCATCATTAGTAGAGTTGAAGGGCTTGTCTGTTTTATTTTTAGTTTAAGGGCTTAAATGCTATTTTGGGATAAGTTTGGGGGCTTAAGAAGGGTTTTTGCTTATATTTTAACTCTACACTAAAAGAAAGGAGACAAATTCTTGTAAATATTTCATAGTTCTTTTTT